CCAATACAAGACAACTGTGAATTATTCAAGGGAAGGGAACTCAAGGCAAAGGGAAGTTGCGTAACTCAGAAGAAACGGAAGCTTTATTATTCTAGAAGAAATCTGAATGTCGCATATTTACCTTGGATATTTCGTCCTCGCGCATTTTCTTCTCTACTTCTCTTCCTTTCCTTTTCTCTAAACCCCCTATCTTTATCTTTCCCATAACCCCTGTCTCTATCAGGTCTTTCATCTCCTTCTCTGTATTTTCCAGATGATTCATCTGAATCCTGAGAGAGGTGAAAACATGCTCAATAGTAAAATTGTTATTGATATACAACTGTCAAGGAAGCTTATTGAGAGCCTTTGTATAGAGTTCAAGTGACGTTCATACACTGCAAACATCAAAATTAGTTCATGCACTTTGGAAGTTAAGTGAGTGGCAGAGTAAATAGGGATACCAATGCATTCTTACAAATGAGGAGGATTGTTCAGGACAAAATAATTATAAATAAATATATAAACAAATAGAGATACAGTAGACTCCTGATAACTTGAACCCCCACTTAGACTTGAACCTTGTGTTAACACAAACCAAAATCGATTTCCCCAGCATTTCCTTCATAAGTTTACCGTCGAACCACACTTTATGGACACCCGATTCTCACCAACTTGATTAAAATAAAAGACAAATACAAAATAATTATGATATGATGATACCAATAATAAATCAGGGTTCTCATAAGGTTTGAAAGTAGACAGCTACGATGTAAAAGTAAGCGGCTTGGTAATCAAGTGCTGAAGATAATTTCAGGCTTTAACTACCTCACTTTACCCATTCCCCCAAAAGTAGATGGCTAAAACCTCAAAGTAACCAGTTTTTTAGCTGGTTGCCTGCACTTAATGAGAACCCAGTTAATAAAAACAAAATGTCCACTCTCTAGCTCTACAAACTGAGGATAAACTAGCATACAGTGACAACAAATAACAGCAAAAATGCACCTTGTTTCTTTCTTGAAGAGGTAGACGTTCTTTATAATCTAATCTGCCCTTGCCCACCCGTCCAGTGAGCCTGCTTCTGCCCTCCCTCTCACGATCACTTGTTCTGCTCAGACCACTTTTTCCTCTCTCCTGTGGCAGAATTCTCTCAGGAGCACTCTGAGGAATGTGACAGCCTTGAACAAAGCTTTGACGTTGGGGACTCAGCACGATACCATCCTCAATCCTGAAGAGAACATAGATATACAAAAAAGATCACAAAATTGATTTTCCTACTCGGAATGACATACAAATCCTAAGCAATAATATTGAAATAATACTATATAAAAGCACACAAAAGTGTCAAAGTTGAGGAGAACAGAGGAGCAATTCATTTTTTTCCATAATAGTTTGATCTAGAGGCTGTAAGCAGAGAAGAAATAATTAACTATTCACTCACAGCAATTGTTTTTTAAGTTCATCTGCAGGGGATGCACATCTTTTTTCACTTGCAAAGGACTGGTGCCAAGCCTCAGGATCCCAAATACCATTTCTAATAAACAGTAGGAATACAATCGCATTAGAAAAATATGAACATTATTATTAATACAGCCTCACAAGACCAATATTCTACATCTTTACTTTTCTCTGAGAGTGAGAGGGATAGAGCTAGATTTTTCTGTGTTGATGGATGTTTGCTATTTTAGCATTGTTCAGTACTGGTACTGCACACATAAATTCAAACCAGCTTTCAACAAATAATTACAAGTCACCTGGTTTTCTGGGCAGGTTTGTTCAAAGCTAGGTTAAGATAACCCAGGGTTAGTGCTAACTTTGATTTCAGATATGAAAGCTTAAAAACCAAATTCAGTTTAATTCCTTATCTACATTTAGATGATTGGATGTTCTAAAAAGAATAAAGAAAATTATACAAGAAAAGAAAAAGAAACCTGCATTAAAATATAACCCAGGGTTAGCGCTAATAAGCCTTTGAACAACTGGGCCCTGTTAAGTAAAACAATAAGTATATTATTTTGGACTTAGCATACCCAACCCTGAGACACCAATAGGCCACTTCTGAGTTCCAAAAATTCTCACTTTCAAAATGAGGCTAAATGCAAAACCTTTTTTGCAAAAAAGAAAAGAGTTTTATTTGCATAAGAATATAAAATCATTTACATATTAATAGCTTTGTAATTAGCCTCACTTTGAAACAAAGACTTGGTGCAACATAAGACTGGTCTATTGCTGTAGAATACTGGTTTTAAAAGCAAGAGGTTGTGGGTTTGAACCCTGGATACAGGTGAGTGATAACAGTTTGAACACTACCAATAACCAAAGATTACGCAGTACATTCAACTCGTAGGCATATGGGCAATTTTTTGCCAGAGGGGGCGGTAAACCATTTTATCGTAAGTTGCCCAAGTTTTTACAAAACAGTAGTCTACGAAAAGAAACGAGGGCCATATGATGCAACAACATAGGGCATACTGGCATATGAGGGTGGCTTGATACAGTTTTTCCGGGTCAATACCTCCCAAGTTTGAGTGTAAACTATGTCGCCATAAACAAACACTTGGAAAAATTACCACCACAGTTGTATTAGATAAAGATGACATTTGTTATGATCAGGGATGCATTGACATCGGATCGGAGTTGTCATAGCAACAAAATAACGCCATTGCTGATGCTATCTGCCATACACTGTTGAAACTTTCTTCACTCCGACACTAGCATAGGGTCTGAATGGTCATGTTGGCATTTCTACGAGTGGAGATGATTCTAAAAAGTTATGCAGAAGTTTTTTGGAAATAGCCCATACCAGCTAGTGCAGTGCAGTACAGTGTCCAACAATAAAAAGCTATAAATATATAAATCACCATAAGATACCCTTCCCTAATAACCAGAAACTCATCACGTGGTATGCAGCCACTGTCTCGTGTGAATGAAGCTGGATTATTACGCCAACTTCAGGTTAAAATAGAAAATATTTGTCTATTCAAAATAACATGGAAATGTCTTTAAATACTGGCTTTGCCCAAATTTTCTCTAGATACCCAAAAAATCTGAGTTGCCCAAAATTTGAGGGGGGCGGCAGCCCCCCTTGCTACCCCGGCCTGTATGCCTATGGTTCAACTGATCTCTATCCCAGACTCTCTCTCATCTCCTTTTGATGATGATGTCATGACCAAGTAAAATCTGTGGGGATTCCAGACTCCCGATTTTTTTATCCAAAATTCAAGACTTTTTCCAGACTTTTTACCAAAACATCAATTTCTTTTTCCAAATTAAATTCTCCTTGTCTAATATCACTATAGTGTACAACATGTTGTATATTCAGACATGCTGATCATAAGAAATTCAAAGGGAGAAGATTTGTCCNGGGCTGCAGCCCCCCTTGCTACCCCGGCCCTTATGCCTATGGTTCAACTGATCTTAATCCCAGACCCTTTCTCATCTCCTTTTGATGATGATGTCATGACCCAGTAAAATCTGTGGGGATTCCAGACTCCCGTCCTAAGTATCAAAAAGGGTTTGTACAGACTTTTTGATCCAAAATTCAAGACTTTTTCCAGACTTTTTACCAAAACATTTTACCAAATATAATTCTTATTGTCTAATATCATTATAGTGTACAACATGTATATTCAGACATGCTGGTCATAAGAAATTGAAAGGGAGAAGATTTGTCCAAATTTAATAATAAAATAATATTGAAAAACATTAAAAAAGTAATTGTTCATTTTTTTTTCATAGAGAGGTTCACGAGAACATAGTAGATTTCAATGAACACTTTGTATTATTTTTAATGCCCTTTAAATAGGTAAACAATTATTATTATAATCTTAACTATAACAAAATTGTCAAATCTGATTGGCTATCAACTGCCCTGATTTCAGCCTTAATTGGACAGTTTAATAGGACAGTACGTGTCATGCCTAAGTAATTGGACAGTACGTGCCATCACGCGCGCGCTTAAATGGCTTTTTTTTTCACTGCTAGCAAAACAAAATTTCGAATTTCTTGTGTTTTGATTTAAAAAATAGCCTATTATATCACAAATTTTGTTAAAGTTATAATTAATTGGTAACAGAACTTCGTGTCGTCCAATTCAGTCTGTAATCATACTCGTGATTAAACAAATCGGTCTCCCGCTACGCGGTCGTCCGATTTTGTTAATCACTCATATGATTACAGACCGAATTGGACTCCACTCAGTCCTGTTACCATTACTTATTAACTATCATTATCAAAATTTGCATTGATTTATAGCAGGGAAAAAGATTCTAGTAAAAATCATGACAGTTTTTTGGGCAAATAACAATACAAAAAAGATCTGAATATACCACCAATCAAACAATCTAAATAAGCAAATTTAGAAAAAGAAATTTCCAGTACAGACAAAAATAATTCTTTTAACCGAGGGGCATCTTTCATTCTGGGAGTTAACATTTCGGCATGGTTTATAAAGATAAGTTTATCAAACCTGGCATGTTCATTAGAAAGAACACTGGGCCATAGTTTTGAGGCTGGAGATTCCCTTAAATTGAGTAATTCTTCCTATAAAAAAAATCAAACATCGCATCACAAATAAGCACAGTGATGAGGCTTATATCAACGTCGCTTGTGTATTGTACATGAAATGCACTCTTAGGCTTCGTATATTTCAAGGTTTCAGAATTATTTATCCTTCAATTAATGTAACAAAAAATAGAGCAATTTGTGAGGTTTTACACATATCTAGACTAATTTCTAGACTACAAGAGGGGATTTTAAGTTCAAAATTATAACCCTTAAAAATCTCCTAATTTCCTCGATCAGTACACAACTTGTCACCTTTGAGTACGTAACACGTGGCTTGTTTTTCACTTTTCCCTGCTCGTCCTTTTCCTTTGTCACTGCCAGGTCTTCGATAGTTTTGCTGGTTTTTCCTAGAATTAAGAAACCCCAAGTAAAATTTGACAATAAGTTAAACGTCTTTCTATTTATAGAAGCATAACCAGATACGACATATTCGCACTTCAAGAGGTGAAGTCGCAGTGTTTACAGTGTAGTTTTTTTTTCACAAACACAGAGAGAAGCCAACACTTTCGAGCCTTTGGCAAAATTAAATCACGGAAAGGAACAGTCCAAAAGTTTTGTTTCACAAAAGATTAACTCATTTATACTGTATCGAATTATGAACAATTTAAATAAACGCGTACCTTTACCCCACGACCCTTCTTTGGTAACGACATTATCCTCTGCTGACAATTCAGCAACCTCCATCTAGGAACTCAGATAAACGTTAGGACAGTAACTTCCTTGAGACGAAGTTAATCTGTTTGTGAATTTAACCTCAAAGAAAGGCTGTATCATTCCAAAAAGCTTAACAAATCTCAGTCCCTGTCATTCACCGTCAACGTCCATTTTGAACCAAAGGAAACTGCAACGAGCTGCGCTTGCGTACTAGTACCTCACTTTAACAGAAGAGCATTTCCGTTTCCTGAGGGGTGGAGAGAGAGATTTGTTTTGCTATGTTACTTTTAATGTCCGTTCCCAAGTTGAGCGAGCAAACAGGTTATTAAGAGAAATGCTTTGTTATTATCTAGCGTCCCTGGAACAGGGTAGTTTTCTAGAGCCTTAGCTATCAGCAGGGTAGTACTTCGAATGCAGCCTCGTGGGTGTAGGGTCCCGATTTGCACTTGCCATTTTGTTGCGATTCACAACTTTTCATTGTACTACATGTATGTTAATTCTGTCATGCTAGTAAACTTGTGAGGGTAATAGTTGTGCCCAACATGTATATTTTTTAATTTTTTCTTTTCTTTTTTTTGTAAGTAATCTCCCCAACAGTATTTCAGCTTGCACAGTAAGTGTTCGAAAGCGAATTTTAATTTTAAAAAGGGGAAGCAGTGGGCGCGCTGCCGGCGGCTCGCTCGGGGGTATGTACTTTTTACAGTTTGCAGTTTGCACTGTAGAAACCAGCTTACTTGGATTGCCCAGGGATAGAGAGCCAACGATTTTGAACAAAACATACAATGAAGATGATCATATCTTCATTTAGAAAAGATAAGAATTGTTTACCATTTCCAAAAAGGTTTCCGGAAAATCTTGCATTAGACTCCATTTTTTGTTTTGCGACACGCGTAGCAGGTGACGTTAGGGCTAACACACCCTGAAACTGAAGTAAAACGTTTACATCGTGAAACTTGAACTTGTGTCGCAAAACAGACGCGACACAAATGTCAAGAGNCATCGTGAAACTTGAACTTGTGTCGCAAAACAGACGCGACACAAATGTCAAGAGAGGGCCTCAATTGGATTTGAATTATTCAGGGAGATGAAATAGCTCGACTCATGTTTCGATTCCGAGACCAGTTGAGAATCTTACATCCTTCGTGAAAAGTAAAACTTTTACCTCGTCTCGTAAAACTTGTGTCGCAAACAAGACGCAAGACAAGTGGCAAAACAAGGGCTTTTAGTTTGAATGTCATTATGATTATTCACAAAGGGAGGTAAAATAGCTCAACTCATGTTTCGAAGCTGAGACTGTTGCATCCTTCATGGAGGTTTTGGGCGAAGCACGACATATGAGCATTAAAAGTCCTGTCCTGTTAGACCTTTCCAAATACTTTGTCTAAGACAGACTACAAGTAGAGGAACACGCGAAATTTTCGCTGTTTCGCCTAAGAGTCGTTGTACCTTCTCGCTAGAAGCACTTTTTGTGTGATCAATCGCTCCTACATGTACACGAAAAATAACTTTAAGGTCGTTTCACCTATACGAGTCGTTTCGCACACGTCCTGTTCGCCAACGTCTTAAGTCGTTATTATTAAGTTTTAGGTCAATTCCTTTACTTCTTTCGCCTAATCAATGACTTCAAAAACGAGGTATGCACATGTGTATCGCACTTTTTCGAGTCATGGCTAAAAGAACGAGGTATATACTTGCTTAGTGTTTATTTCTTTTCGTAAGCGAAGCGATAGAGCGAGACGTTAGCGAAAAGACGCGTAGGCGAAACGGCCGGTCAGAGAAAAATAGGAACGAGTCACCACCTGCATAGTTAGTAGCTATGCTTCTTATCTGCGTACGTAAAGGTGAATAGGGAGGAAAAATTGAAAGGTTGGATAGTATTCAGAAACTGAGGATCTATGCGTTCCATCGAAACTAAGTTTTGTGTACAAAGTTAACAGGTGACTGAGGTAAGTTGACAGCGCAGAGGGACTGAAAGCTGGACATTTAAAGCGATAGCACTTCGACTGAGACGAGACTGAACATTCTTCTTTGAAACTATATATGGTGACTAAAACAAATCAACTTAAACGCCAAAGTTAAATAACGAAACAGACCAAATGAACGTACAGAAACACTTGTTTTAAAAGTAACTCTGAGTTTGCACATTCCTTCGGTAAATCGAACTAGCACTGATTTACATGGTACTATTGAAATAAGCTAAAATAGCTGTAGCCAGTCGAACTTCACGCTGTGCAGAACACGTCGTTCACTTTCCTAAAACAAACTCTTCACCCTTCTTGATGTTCTTCTTCAGCTCAGGTATCAACTGCAAATCAGAGAAAGAGAAATGTCGCGTGAATATGATGCATGATCTGATTTTAGATCCATATACAGTCATTCCTCTCCCTGTGCGACCACCTCTCGTAAGCTAAACACTTCCCACCAACATTTTCCTAGTCAAAAGCCTGTAGTTTGAACCTCTCATAAACGACCACCTATAGCAAGCCACCACGATCACTTTTTGGATTGAAGATTTGATAATTTCCCGCACGTTTTAACCTGTAGTGGGCGACCATTTGACGAATGGTCTGCATGATATAAATGTTCTTCAACTACCTCTTCATGGACAACTCTACAAGCCGGACAAATGCCTAAAACGGAAACCTAGAGTTGGTCCCTCCTTTTCCTTTGTCCATTCCTTTGACTTTATACAAGATGGACAACTCTCTCAGACGGTCCCAAACCTGTCTGGCTTAAAGAAAGTTCATAACACAGACGCCTCTTAATTTCGTACAGTAGTTCCGGTCCTAAGATACCAAACTTCGCACAATCCCTACCTCCACAACATGGCCACCTCTGTACACAAAAGGAATGACCAGTGGGTGACATGAAGCCTACCTACTTTCTCTTGTATTATTCAATTTTTATACATAGCCATTTTTCCACAAATTCTTTAACAACATACATTTCCTTTCTCACATTGTTACTGGAAAATTGATCACTCCCAAATGTTTACTATACTCCCAACTTACAAAAACCAATCACATTTTCAAGTTTGCAAGTGTTAATTGTTAGCACTGTCATATGCCCAAAGAGGAAAGTGCAAAAAGCAAAAGGAATACTAAAAGTGAAGGGCTTAAATAAAGGGTTTTCATATAAAGAGGCCATGTGAAGAGGTTAGAGCTGTTTAAGGTCAATGCTGTGCTAAAGTCATTACTGTTCCTGTTGAGTTATGAGGAAAATAACATCAAACAAATTTCATACGAGAGCACTATTAATTTTTATTATATAAACACCAATGAAATACCGGGTGAGCTTTCGCGCGAAAAGTTGATATCTTCACATGTGAAAATAACATGTTATCTTCACATGTGAAAATATCACCGTTGCTATGGCTACATAATAAATCGTGCCTTTCATTAAAATGGTTTGGTATTTCATTAGTGTCTATATAATAAATAGAACATTACATGGCCGCTTGGAGATACGTAATTTCTCTTCTCGTGTTGAAAATAGTTCACTCGTTCGCTGCGCTCACTCGTGAAATATTTTTCAACACTGGAAGAGAAATTTCGTATCTCCGCGCGGCCATGTAATATCCTCTATATCTATAATAATTTTTTGGTGATTTTTGCAGGCATAGCTTTAAAACTTGAAAAAGTTAGCCAGCTTTTTCAAGTTTCAATCTATGTCCATCCTTGCCATCCGTTTCTACAGGTGACAGGAAACAGTTTCAGTGCCTAAATATAGCCTTAACAAAACTGGACCATTAGTTTTGGAATTCATTTGACCTGAAGAAGACCTGAAGTTTCAGCATTTTTAAAGATAGCATATCACGTCACGTAGCCCCTTTAAAATATCCAAGTGAAAACCACTCTGACAATCAGCTTCCACGTACCTCTTCCAGCTTTTTTTCTTCATAGGCAGAAAGTTTTCCATAACCGAGGGCATTCTTTACACCATTTGGCTATTTGAAAGCAGATACAAAAAGAATATCAGATATTATAACAAAATCCGATAGTTAAAGAAAGTAATTCTAGATAATGCTATCAATCCTGAGTGCCTATTATATCAATCTAACTGATCAAATCATAACTCCCTGTTCACCGCATAATGGTAAAACTATTCAGTGAAAAAAACAAAACAAAACAAAACAGAGCAAAATATAGGCCAGGATACAAAAATCAGAAACCTACAAAGAGACATCCATCTGTTGTTTCTGTACGTCTCTCCCTAAGAGGGTAGCAACCTGATCCACTTATTCCACCCCCTCCCACTCCCACTTGTTTCTGTAGCCCTCTCCCCTAAGATGCCCACCCTGCCCCCTCCGACTCCCTAAAGAAAAAGGATGGAAACAGAATGCAACTAAAAAGAGCAATCATGAAAAGGCACAATCACCTACCCCAAGCTCTACAGGTTGTGCAAAATAACCAGTGCCACAGACATCTGACTGGACAAATGCACACTCAGTAACTCCTTGCTTGCCATTCAAAGCATCAAGGACCTGAATATTGCAGATAATTCCATTTTTTAACTTTGTAATAACTTTAGTCTTGACTTATAATTACTATACTCAATAAGTGAGTTCCACAAGGGAAGAAACAAAAATGATAAATTAATATCAAAATGATCAGGAAATAAATTATAATCACTGGTGTTTGCGGTTCAACTCTATTATCAGTGAGGAAGAAACTAGTGAAAGGGGAGAGATCGCCATGATAGCCTGTGAACAGGCTCCCAAGAGGAGTGGGGCAAAAAAGAAAATCAGCAAGAGAAGTGAGCCGGGCATGGAATGGGGCAGAAAAATGGCCGGGGAGCCTGTAGAATTTGTTTTGATGCTGCCCATGGTCAGGTCACTGACTGTTGACAAGTGAGTGATGAATAATAACGTGTGTATGAACGTCATTGAAGCTGATGCATTCGAGCAAAAAAATATTATTCGAGAGGAGGTATAATTACCATATTGACATGTTAACGACATATGTGTTACAGAATAATTGCAAGTGGGAGGATGAGCCGCATCAAAACAAAGTCTACAGGCTCCTCCTTCTTTTTTCTCCTGCAGGCCCTGCTCGGCTTGCTTAGCTTGACAATGTTCTTTTTTGCCCCGCTCCACTTGGAAGGTTATTAGCACGCTATTACCATGATGGTGATTGGGTGCGATTAATTTTGCAGTCATTATTCTCAGAAGAAAGAAGTTGCTTTCCTTTGCTTGGATAATTTCTATGTGTTCATATTGTGTGTTGTTTGCTTTTCACTCATACACTGTTGTCAACGATGACCAAAAACATCACAAGAAAGTGGAAGTGATGTTTTGACTTACATGTGAATTGGATGAAAGTGAAGGAGAGTTGCCCTGTGTCTCAGTCTTTTGTCCTGAGTTATCTGGGTCCAGAAGCAGGACAAGTGAGAAAGCTGGAGATACAACAGGTTGAGCCTGTTAAATTGTACCCTTCTTGCTCCACAGCACCAGTAGCATGCTGGTGGTTGCATTTGGCTCACACGGAGCTATCACTCTTTCACAGGTCTTGTTTTTTCTCCTGCTGGGTGACATGCCACCCTCCTCACTAGCATAGTGTGGTGGAAGACCACTCGTTCATGTGGCAAGTGGTACTGTGTTACAGTACATGTATCATCAGTAGCAGAGTCCAACCCCTGGGAAACCTAGACATGCTACCTAATGTTAAAATAGCTCATAACTTGCAATTTACAAACTTTACTTACAGAGTTAACAAACTTTGTCCCAGCATATGCCATTGAGAGTGTTGCAGATCCCTAAAGTAACAGTTTGGGACAATCATGAATTAGTGCTACATTATGATATCGTCATTCTGAATGATATGCATTAATGTAAATCAACATTACTGCATTACTTCAATAGCCTATTATTGCAGCCACCTCTCCTTGCTTGTCGCTGCTAGGGATGTTTCACAGAAGAGATGTCTGCATTAACAGCCAATAAATCAACGTTTACATAATTAATCAGCATTCAAAGATTGTTATTATTTATGGATAAATAATGTTGTTCTTTACATGAAATGTAACAATACTATTTATCCATAAACCTTTATTGTGCTACATGAAACAAAAAAAGGAAACAGGTTGAAGAAAAACAATCATCTTACAGATCCTGCTTTGGCATTCACTACTTCTGTCCCAGCATTCTGGATTCTGTCAGTGAGCTTGTCAACTTCCTCATCAGTAAATGACACACCAGGAGATGTCTTGAAAACAAAATCATAACAGATTCAAATGCAATTTTATCCACCAATAAAAATAATGCTCCTGAGTCCTTTTTTTTAATAATTTGTAGCAAAAATTGGTGCAACATCTAGATTCTGTCAATCCATAGCAAACAATAGAGGAACAGTGGATCTCATAGCAAAGCTGATGAGTGAGAATTTTATCTTTAAAAATGTGTTGTGAGAGAAGCTGGAAATACTAAGATGTTGTAAGGTTCGACTCTGAAAATCCCTGACTGAAAACAAAGTACTGTGTGCTTAGTACAGTGTAGGTTGGTGTAATGGGTGTAACCTATATCAAAATTAATGTGATGTCAGTTTTACTAGTTAAAGCCAAGGCTATGAATTACAATAATAATATTGTATTTTCAGCACAAAAATTCTAAAGTAGGGAGTTCAGTGCAAGCCATTTCTGGCAGATTGTCACTGTTTAAAGGCTCCTCTACTGCTGTATATTAAAGCCTTCTGAGCGTTAATAGAAGATTAATTTATGAACTAAAGAGAAAAATGACAACCATTATTAATAAGACCTATTCTTTGATGTCCATTACATGACGAAAATTACAGTTCGGAGTTTCTTTCTTCCAGTTTCTTAAAAGCTACTGAGCCAAGTTGCTAAGACTTTATACATGTATGACTGGAGCACAAGCTAAATACATTACCTGGGATAAAAGAGGCAGAATTGTGATACCAGAATGACCACCGATAACAGGTACTTTGACATCTTCCACATTAAGCCCCTAAAACAAAGTACATGGAAATATAGGCAATGACATCACATGTGACCTGTGTCACTGATTGGAGAGAATAACATTAACATTCTCAAACAATCTGTTATTCCACAAAAAAAAACCTGTACCCCTCTCTTGAAAAATTGTAACTTTGGAGATAATTACTTTGCATGCTTTTATCAGTACTCAGCCCCTCAGAGGAGGCCATTTCCAAGCTGCTCTTAGAGCCTCTTTTGTGAAAAAATAGTCCTCTGAGAGGGGGGACACAAGCTTACTGGCGATGAATAGTCTGCACTCCAGTAACCATAAAAAAGAAGGAAAAAGAAATCTATTTAAAAAATTATGGACGATGCCGGGTTTTGAACCCAGTACCGCTACCCTGAACACTAACACCGTGTACTATGGGGACGTATTTTCCAAAGGGAAAATTAAAATTATTCAATAGTTCGTTTTACTCAGTGTATCTTGTTTTTTCACTACATTTGTTTTCTATTGGCTGTATTTTATGTCTTTCTAATTGTTTGGCTTAAGAAAAAAAGAAGAAGAAAAAAAGAATTCAATTCTATTCTCCTAAAAAAGGGCTATGGCAGGTATTGCACCCGGTACTTTCTGGTCCAAAGGTTATGCATTAACGCCGTCTGCTACAAGAACAATAGATATGACCTTACCATCATTCATTCATTCATTCGTTCATTCATTTACGCCAACGATAGCACAGAGCATTACTGTCTTAGCCAGAAAGCTAAACAAGTATTACTGTTAAATTCTTTTCCTTGCCTTTTTCTTTATCCTTATTTATGTATTACTCCTTTTTTACATAAAATGTTTTACACTTGCCCTTACACTGAAAGGTGGGGGAAGAAGGGGGGGGGGGGGGG